ACAAGGTCAGCTGACCTGACGTCAGCTAGGACTTTAAGTGGAAAGAAGGAGGAACAGCTCGCATCCTGGCGTTTCGGGGGGGGGCTCCAAGGAACTTCACGGAGAAGAACCGTTGCACGGTTCAGTTCTGAGAAAGATTTAATATCTCAGCTTAGGTAGATGCTGGGCAATACCAGGAAAAGGTGTTTTAAATATGGGACATTTTATGACTCCTGTGTTATTGATGTTAGTTCACTTCACTTCTGTTAGGCGGCAGGGTGCAGCAGAGAAACCCGTGTTAGTTGTCATTTGCAGATTTGTGCTGTGAGAAGAATGAACATTCTGTTTGAACACCAAGTTAACATCAACTTTTGTGTGAAGCTGGACAAGACAGCCACAGAGACATTGCAGCTTCTGCGTGATGCGTACGGCGATGAAGCTTTATCTCTGGCGCGAGCATTTGAGTGGCATAGGTGATTCGTGTTGGGCAGAGTGTCAGTGGAGGATGGCACAAGGTCAGGCCAGCCTTCAAGTTCCTGGAATGAAGACAACGTGGTTTGCATAGGAGGAATGATATGGGGAAGACTGTACTGTTAACAGTGTGCATGTTAGCTGATGCCCTGAATTAATATTCAGGGCTAACAGTAAGTCAGCCTACCACCATATTCTGCAAAAGGGCTTGGGTAAATGAAAACTCAGTGCGAGGCTAGTCCTGCATGCACTCACTCAGGATCAGAAGGAGATGTGACCTTCAATTTGTGCTGATTTGTTATGCAAGGCACAGAATGATGCCACAATCGTCATTATCATTGCTGAGGATGAATCATGGTGTTTCCTGTATGACTTTCAGACGAAGAGGCAAAGCAGCAAATGGCAGTCAACGGGTTCACCAGCATCAAAGAAAGTGAGGTGGCAGCCATTGAAAATGAAGACTATGATAATCGTTTTTTTTGTCAATGCCAAGGGTATTGTTCCACAAGGGCAAAGAATCTACCAAGAGGTTTACATCTCCATACTCAGGCATATGCACGAGTCACTTCGACATCATTGTCCTGACCTATGGGCATCCAGACAGTGCACTTTTTTGCATGACGTTGCATGACTACACACAGCTTTAAATGTCAACAGATTTCTTGCTAAACACAACATTACTATGCTTCAACATCCCCCATATTCCCCTGACCTCTCATCATACTATTTTTTTTCTGTTTCCATGATTGAAAAAATGCTAAAAGGATGGCAACATGAGAATATCAAGTCATTCCGAAAGAGGCATTCACCAGCTGTTTCCGGGACTCTCTGAAACGCTGGCAACAATATATTGACTGTGGAGGGGACTGCTTTGAAGGGGACATGAACCATTAGTTAATAAGTTGAAGTTTGTATTTTTTACAGACGCAGTCTGAAAACTTTATGGATGAAGGTTGTATATGATTGCTGTTCTTTAAAGGATTAATTATTTTTGTGAACAGTAGTTTTTTGTCTGCAGTCATTGGTCACTGCAGAATCACAGATAATTCATTTTCTAATTCTGTTGCTAGGACAAGGTGAAGAAGGTTCCCCACCAGTGGGTGTCGGCCTGCTATGGGTCGGCGCATGCTTGTGACTGGTGCTCAAAGCCGCTCACCAACAAACCGGCACTCTATTGTGAAAGTAAGACTCACTTTTGCTGGCATCAGTGTATGTGTGTGTGCATTCCGTTTGTGTTGACCCAGTTACTCATTGCCATGTTTGCCGTCTGTTTAGATTGTGCAACGACTGTCCATCAGAACTCCTGTAAGGACCACATCATGGACTGCAACAAGCCAAAGTTATCAAAGGTAAGGATTCATACTCCATTGAAGCTATCTTTTGGGATGTGACACCATGCATTCTGGTAGTTCTTTGATATTTCAGAGGAACATACTGGCTCCAACTTCAGGGTCAAAGGGTAAACCAAACAAATAAAGTGGACAGTATATTCTGGAACATCAGTGAGCTTCTACTGGACTGCAAATTGTCATATCCAAGAAGGTAATACTCTTAATAGTCACTGTTGTGACAATCCCAAGTCTCGCATACAGTGTTGCTTTAGCAACTCCTAACCACATCATATATGAGTAATGGGTTTTGTTCCTGTCTTGCATGTATGTGCGAAGAGCTTCAGGTCTTGAGATTGCAATCATATTGTTGCGTGACTGAATGTGACTATGGATGGTATTTGGATTGGTAATCGGATCTGTTGGACACTTGTAACTTGCATTTGTAACTACAAATAACTCCAACAGTCTGAGTTACACACTCCACAGATCACTGTAACTACAGAACACATAAAGTCTTCTCAGTCTTTGCTAGGCATTGCTTGATGGTGACTTCCAATGGCAGACATTCCCCTTCCTCTGGGTTCCCACATTGTCCTAGGCCTCAGCTACCAACTTCTCACTTCTCGCAACTGCAACGCAGCTGAACTAGTAGTCCTCATTATACGGCCCTGGTACAGACTGCACAGAAAATGTGTCTTGTACGAGGTGCTGTCAGAAAGTTCCTGGACTAAATAAAAAAAGAAACACTGGCTTAACTTACTCAATTTTGGCTGCCATATCCTTCAAAACATTCTCCTTGGGAACGTATACAGCAATCCCATCATTTTTTTCCGCACTTCAAAGCACTGTGGAAATCATTTTCCTTAATCCTGTTGAGTACAGCTTGCGATTCCCTTTGGCTGTCAGACACGGTTTCAAAACGTCGCCTCTTCAGTTTCATTTTGAATTTGGGAAACAAAGTGAAATCACAGGGGGCTAAGTCCAGCAAGTCAAACTCTGTGGTTTTCAGGGATGTGTGGGTGAGCACATTGTCGTGATGAAGGAGCCAGTTGTGGTTGCTCCAAAATTAAAGTTTTTTCATTGCACATTTTCTCACTGGCCTCTCAAAACATCACAGTAAAAGTTAGAGTTGACCGTAGTGTTAGGAGGAACAAATTCATGGTGAACAGTCCTCTTCACACTGAAAAAAGTAATGAGCATGCTCTTTGTTGAACTCCAGAACTGCTGCTCCTTTTTTGCTCTTGGTGACTGGGCTCTTCCACTGTGACAGTTGTTGCTTTGTTTCTGGTTCATAAACTGTAAATCAAACTTTCATCACCCATTATGATCTTAGAAATAGAAGTTGGGCCCTCATTAGCCTTCTCTCATAATTCAAAGACATGTTTATGTGCTGCTGCTTTCAATCATTTGTCAAGAATTTGGGTACAAACTTCGCAGAAGTGAGGCACATGTTCAAATTTTCTTTTAACATCTCCTGGCAAACTCCATACCTGATCCCAACGGTGTCTCTGAGCTAATGGATTGTTTGGTGATGGTCTTCATCGATGAGTTCTCAAATTTTTTCAACATTTTCTGTCATTTTGCGGGTGCTTGCTTGCACTGAACGTTCATCATCTTCAGGTGACACTCAACCAGCCTTGAAACGTGAATGCCATTCAGAAACCACTGTCCGGCCTAAAGAATGTTCTCCAAACGCCTCACGAAGCAGTTCAGGGGTTTCGGTAGCAGATTTACTGATCTTCATGCAAAACTTGATGCAGACACATTGCTTGATTTTGCCATCCATCGCAGACACAGTGAAACATGAAGTTGAAAAAGCACTCGTGTAAAAACAGTGTGATGTCACATAGCAGACTGATGCAATAGGCTTTGAGAAGTGTGACCTTGGCCTCCTCTCTCATTTCCTTTCACCGAGGTAGTCACAACAGCAACAACAACAGTCTGGGAACTTTCTGATAGCACCTCGTATAATTGCGTGTTCTCACATTGCCGGGGAAACAGTGCGTTCATAGAGCTGTTCCCCAGCAATGTATATTGTACTGTCACCTGTTTACATAGCTGTTACTTGGCAGTGAGTGGGTCTGCATATCGCAATATGGCTGCAGAGTGTCCTAAGCAAACATCACATCATTCCTGTCAAGTTCTGTTGGACCATTGTGATATTGTTAGTAAAGACTTCAACTTAACTTGAGAAAACTTTGGTAGGAATGAGTGGCAGGCTCTTGTGATCATGGTAATGAATGTTCATACTCCATAAAATATAAGGAATTTCTTGGTTTACAAATGGTTAGCTTGCCATGAGATACTTTCAGAGAAGTTGTATCATTTCCAGAAATTCTTCATTACCATCCTCACCGGTATTTGGGCCTAATTGACCTGTTCTAGATGTTGTGAAACAGAAACTTTCTGTTGCTTGGTTTGATAATTTGTAATTTTGAGGGATCCTGTTGCTGGTGCCATGGAAACAAGTTGCATATATATATGGTGGGAATGACTGTGCTGGAGACTTCCCAATTTCTGCCCCTTTCTGGTTTGTGTGAACCAGAGAGTATCACACCCCACCATCAGCATTTCAGCAGGATGTTGCTCAGATTCACTGGGTTTTTGGACTGTGTCAGTTGTCCAGTATTCTGAAAACTAGATAATGCGGGGGTGGGGATGTAGTGGGACCACTATTGAGATTCAAGTGCAAGGGATTTCTGTGCCATCTGTTGGCAGTTACAGATATAAAAGCATGGGTGATCATGAGTCACTCTTTGATGTCATCTTGTGTCTGCCTTGTGTTTGCAGAATGCACCCAGAGGCACCATGTTCCCAGCGACAAAACAGACGTCTGCCAAGAGAGGTTCTACGTCACAGCCAGGGCATATGCAGGCCAGCAGCAGCAGTAGGTAAGTTTACTGGCCTGACATCAGTGGCTTCTTTCATTGTCATGTTCAGAACTTAGTGGTGTGCACATGTAGAGGGATGGAGGTGTGAGGCCCTTTTGCTTGTACTGTCAGCAGGTGGTGTGTATTTCATGTTTATGATGCATTCATTTGTGACTAGATGATTCAAACATGTACCTGGACATTATGTTCTGTTGAATTTTATTGAATTCCATACATCTTGCTTTTTTCTGAAAAGTAGATTCGTCTCCTGTGGTCAGAAATGTAAGTACCAATTATGACAGCTTGTTTGTAAGGAAACATTGTCTGATTTATGACAGGGTTTGCAGGTGAAATGAACCCACTGTAACAGGAAAGCAGCTTCACTCTGTCTCCTTGTGACATGTATCAATGAATTTCTGTAAGCGTTATAATTACCCTTATTATTATTGGGTTTCTGGACTTTACCCATCTCATAGGCTTCCAAACAGAGCACACTGTATCAGAAACTGGATCTGTTTACATTCTTGGCTGAATGGGGAGGAGGCACCCACTGATGTGGGATTGTTAGACAGACCCAGTCACAATCAGTGGTGTCTCCACCTTTTCACCAGAGGGCAGAAGCAGACCCAGTTTCTGAACTATATTCTGTTTGGAATGAGGTGATTGACAAAGTCCAGGTACCTGCCCTTATGATAATCAGTAACACACTATTATCAGTACCCTTGAGAACTGTTCTAGAGGTGCCACTTCTCTGCTGAGCTTGAAAATAAAGTTTACATATTCATATCCATACTCTTGTGTGTGTGTTGGGGATAGAATGAATATGCCTAATTTTGCTTGTTTACGGTGTCTTTTATGTACAAGATTATTTCCATACACAGGCTGGTAGAATTCTTAATATTTTCCCCACATAACCTCATAATCATTCTGTTCGTTTGACCAGCATTCCATATGAAATGCAGCCTGTATATTGCAATGCCAACATCCTTGCTTATTTTATTTGCTGCTGAGTTTGGATATTTAATTATATTGTTGCTTAATTTCTGGTAAGTCACATCACATGATGTGTTGTGTTATACATCACATCATGGACAATCTCACAGATTGTGAACCTGCATGATTATATTGGTTGGTGACTAAGCAATCTTTGAGTAGTACAAGAGATAGATGACAGAGCCTTGCCTCAGAACAGAGTTTTATGAATCCCCTTCGGCCATATTGGCCATATCACTTACAGACTTGAGTGACCAACATTCGTTGAGCCTTAGTGAGAATTAAATAAGACAAGATGTTGAAGTCAATGTACTGATGTAGTAGGCCAGTGTGTTGCCAGTATAGACTTTATACCTGCCAAATTTAGAAAGACTTTAGGAACCACCTGGCCTCTTGTAGACTGGCTACCAGGAACCCCATTCCCTAGAGATTGAAGCCAACCATTGCTGAGATGCAGAATGTATGAAATCCCAGTTCTCACATCTTTGTACACACTGTCTGCAGCTACGTACCCCTTCCAAAACATGTGGAAAAGTAATATAAAAGGTTAATTGTAACTTTCCAATATCTAGGCAGCTGGAAATTGTTGACTCTTTATATTATCACTCTAATGGAAAACATTCATATGCAGACAAGTAATAGAACAGCTTCAGTCATGAAGATTGCTTGGTCTATTGGTGTTAAGATGTCCATACAGTGCTTTTCTCTCATCTATCCCTTGTTCTTATCTCTCTCTCTCACCCACCCCCTCACTCACTCACTGTCTCTCTCTCTCTCACACACACACACACACACAGACATGTGGTTACTTTTTGTTTATGCCAGCTGTCACTTTGTCCTGGTCATCAGTGCTCTGTCTTGTATAGCCATGTGCTCTTTTATAGTGTCATGAGGCACAGAGCTGCTACTGTCAGTTCACATGTACACATCTTTTATTGCTCTTGTTTGTTTTGTAGTAAAGGACAGGTCGCTTAGTGGGTAACGTGACAGTTCAGCTGCTTAAAGAAATTAAACTGCCATACATCACTGTTCATGTCAGAAGATGTCTGTGAGGGGTAACACATTCTCAACTGACCAGCTGCATCAGTTCATAACACAATTCCAGCATTTTGGAAAACTTGCCCCTCACCTGGGCAGTAAAGATCTCTGAAACACTTACTTCGACTTCTGCTCCAAGTTGACATGGCTGGTCACCCACGAAGATTTGGTTCCTTTCAGTCACTGTGAAACATACAGATGTTGTAGGGAACCGGATTTCAGCATCAACAGAAACCTGGATCCCCACATATGAGATTTGAGGTCCTCAAGGCAGTATATGTTAAGCTTATGGTCTTCCAGGCTGTGATGTCAGTAGATGGTTACCACTGTCCTGCCTCCATACTCATGTAGAAGACAGAGATAGGAAGCCCCAGCAATTATTGGCCCCTCTGTACCTGACACTACAGCTTCACATACCAGAAGACTATAATCCCTGAACCAACATGTCCCACCATGACTAAGTAGCCCTATACAGTACAAATGTGCAGGTCTATTGGCAATTTTGAATGGACACTTCTGTTATAAGCTAGAGATCGAAGCGTGAGAAAAATAGGAATCAACACAAAAGTAGATGCAGTAGTTGCTGTGTGGTCCCTTCAGGAAACTGACTGCATGGTCTGAAAGTGAGAATGAGTGGTGTAGTGTGTCATGTGTGTTGCGTCGTGCATGAGACCCAAATTAACCGATAGGGTGAGCAGCATGAAATCTGGTGAGTTGCATTGAAACATAACAGCCAGTGGCATTTGCTTTGGGTAGGTTTGCAAGATGTGTCTTTTGCTTCACACACACCCCATAATGGCAAAGATATTTTCACTAGTAACTCAGAAAGTTACAGTTACTGTTACAGTTGATATTCAGAAAATAAATGTGATCACATAAAGCAGAAACACCAACACTGAGTAAATCAAGTCTGGTGAAAACAGTTTGACCTAAGAAAGCAAGACACATGTTAGCAAATGGCTCCAACAAGCTGAGGCCTTGTGCCCCCTTGCTAATCTGTTGCTTTCCGCCCCACGCCCACTCTGCCCCTCGCACACACACCCCCCTGCTAGGAGGATTGGCTGCTACTACTCTCCGTGGAGGCGCGTCGCCACTAAGCTTGGGGTGAAGTAAGTTGCAGGCAGCTCTTCTTGTCTCATTCTTGCTGTCCTCTGTTCTCTTGTCTTCTTTCCCCTTCTCTCCCTTGTTGGAAGCCGTAACAATGCAAGTGAACTGTGATGAATTTGTTATTCATGTTACTACTCTTTTATGTATTGTCTTGGACAGGGCCTGTGACAGTACCACACAAGGTGTCTAGGTCTTGAAATGTAGACTTTCAGTAGGAAGTCATTCAAGTTGTCCTATCTTTCAGACATGTTTGCTTGTATATTTGAATATCAGTGTAGGGAACCAGGCCCACTTCACAGTTCGTTTGCACTGAATGTGAAAGTCATGCGTTTCTGCTTTGCCTCATCTGCCTGTGCTTCCATAGCTTGAGCTGTGGCTGTTGGCTACCCAGTGCAGGCCAGTAGCACAGGTCCATGAACCTCACATGCTAATTAAGGTATTTGCACAGAATTGCACTGTTTTTATTCTCAGAATGATTGCTAAGAATTTTTAATGAAATAATGCATAGTAAATTTGTCAGTATGACTAAAAAATATGTTTACAAGAAAGAAGGTAGGTTTTTGAGGAGTTAAACAGCTAAATAACTCTCTTGCAACAGGATCCACAGGCCCAGCACTGTTCCATAAAATCCTGAATCAGTTCCAGCTTAAAGTTATTTTCCCATCTTTTCCATCTGCCTACTCCTCCACTGATCTCCATCAAAATTTTGCATGCACTTGTCCGCCAGTCGCTGCCACAGGTTCAGCCCATCTTAATGCTTTGATTTCAGTACCCAATCAACACTAGACCCAAATAAATTGCAGAGTTTCGCATTATGTAATGTCATAAATATGTAGCTTACTTCATCCTTCTTGAGTCCAAATGTGAAGATGGTTTATGTGTGACTTGGCAGCATCTTTGAAACCCATCTTTCAGTCACTTCTTGAAAACAAAGATGGTTGTGAATGTTTCAGTGCTACCAGCACTAGCATTCACTTGTAAGATTTAATGTACAGATATGCAGTGATGTGCAGAATAAGCAATTCAGCTTTGTTAATGTTCATGTGATTGACCAGTGTCTGCAGCCATCAGGAGGAGGTTGCCAACCCCTGATACACCTGTTTTTTTACAGTGCGTCTTCCTCGGACTGTACTGTTTTAAGTTCTTCGTTTCACCCCTTCTTTCACCAAGTATTTGATTACACATGACTGGCTGCTGTGCTCTCTTACCAACTTCTTGTGATGACTGAACACATGAGCATAAGTATGGCTAATACCTGAAGAAGGGACAGCTGAAATGACTTTGATGCTGCATCTTTGTTTACAAGAAGAAGTGGTGGATGATATTGGTCACATCTGAACCACCTGCCTGTTTCCAATTTTCAAACCATTGTAATTATTTTTTATTTAGTGGATACGTTAAAATGAAATCAGAACAAAATTGTACAGAGTACAATTGCCAGTATAGCACATGCTGCCTGATAGCTGCTCACAGTTGGAAGTGATGTTGCTTGTTGCATCACACAAACACACTTATGTGTTCTTGTGTTGAGGCACTGTGATGATGACTTGGTGTTGCGCGCTGATGGTGAGGTTCCACTGATTATTTTGTGTTTAGTATTCTAAGAAGTTATTTTGTTCTTGACGCATAATATTGTTCAGTTTCTTCTGTTTATTTTTATGGTTTGTGTTTATTGCAGTCTTCTTGAGTTCAAGCAGTACAGAGCATAGTTGTGCTTGTTTTACTTGCAAACCTTAAACATTGTATCACAAAACTTTATATCGCTTGGGGGTCCTGTTACCCCTGTTCTTTGTAGCCAGCTTCATCTTGCTTCACTTGGTTTGTTACCCGCACAGTTTATGTATGAAGCAGTGGTTCCCAGTCTCTTGTTTTGGTTCATACACAAGGTGAATGAAGTTCGCCTAGTGCTGCAGTGTGGCAAAGCTGAAACACGAGACCTTCACGGGTATCATCAGGCAGGGAATTCTGAAGCTTCATCAACCAAAGAAAGATAAATCAGTGTGTCTTAGTTTCACATTACTTTGGCAGCTGTTTGCTTCTTGGTATGGTGTTTTTTTGCATGTTATGGCACAAAAGCTTACAGGTCTGAATTAATATTTCCTTGTCTGATGTTCAGTCATAGGAAACAGAATGGACAGCTTTTTGAGCTGCACGTTGCAAACCAGTGATTTAAAATGTAACCAGGGATATGCAAATTGACTACTGTAATTATCATTCTGGTATGGAGAACTGAAGAAAGGCAACAGATTTATGTAATCCACTAATGAGCCGTTTGAGCCATAGTAGTAGAAATAGGCTATACTGAGACACACATGTTTATGTTTTGATTATGAAAGGATTAAAGAGAACTAGATGATGAAGAGATACATTGAGAGCTTTGGAGTTTTGGTGGAAAGAGGACAGTCATTTCATAGCAGGAGTGTGGCCTCATATTCTCTGCACAGAGAGTATAGAGAAGTTTCTGATGAGGTGAAGTAATGAAAGGTTAACTTGAGGGATATGTGAGCCTTTGGATGTCAGTTTGGTTTTGCTAAACAGTGTACAGACTGGATTGTTGATGTGTACAGAGCTTCAGCATGGTGCTTTCTGACTGCATCCTCCTTTCCTGCTACATTCTGCAGTTTTCCATTTTCCTTCTATGCACTTGCATGTGGGTGTAATCATAAAACTAAGTTTAAATTGAAGTAGCCATGTCTGTGGTGTTCAATTGGCACAGTGCGATGGTGATTTTATTGTTTGCTCTTGCAGTCAGATCATCAACGAAGAGAAGGAGGGAGATGGCTCGCTCCATGAAGGAACAAAGTAAGTCTGACCTTTTACCATTCGTTTATTTTTTAATAATAGAGATGTTGCAAAGATACTGTGTGTTGTTTTGATGATTTATTGATGTTGGAGTTCTGTATCATTACTGGGAAAGGCAAAAATGGCTCAGATTCAGTTAAGCTGCAGTGCCTCTTGTGATACAGCCAGGGAGTGAAGAGAACAGTCACATGGAATATTTTGGATTCCAACTTTCCACACAGTGAACTGATACCTGTACAGTAACTTGAGGTTTTTATTATTACTTTCAGTTTCTCTGACGACGGATCACAAGACAGATTTGAATTCCTGGGAGAAGGTAAGCATTGATATTATAACTGTCCGATCTCGCTACTGTTACTATCACTTGCTGTATCGTATCAGATGTCATTGCTGTTGTGTCATTAGCGGTGCCATATCAGATGTAACTTACTTGCCATGCCAGATCTTGTTGCTCTTGTAAGTGTCATGTTGTGCCTCTGCTTCAGATCCCATAACTGCAGATGACTTGGAGACAGACCCTTCACTTGGTCTGCAGGTTGAGGAGCCAGACTCATGGACCCCAACAGTGGGAAAGGAGGTTAGTTTTGTAGTGCAGCTATGTGTTTTTGGCCACAGGTTTTGTTCAAAATTTTGCTCCACATGTGACAGAGTAAACAGGTGGTTCAGATTTGACCTTGAGTTCTCATTGTATTGTGTAAACATTGGTGGGTTAGTGTCATTTTTGCCTCATCATTTTATATATTTCTCCTCTGCATACAATCCACACTTGCATGTGTCTGTTTACTCATCGTGCTGTACCACAAAATGAAGTTAGTATGAAGATAGAGCCACAATATGTAATCAGATTTTTGGTTTAAGAAGGCTTGCTCAGAACCAGTCAGTATTCACTGAGGAAATACTGTCAAGAACGCAGGTGTGTGAGTGGTGTGCTGCATTCAGTGACATCCATGATGCAGTGAATTGCCTCGTGCATGGCCACAGTGTCACTCAAGTCACATGAATGTAGTGACGTTCAGAACCTGATTCTGTATATTTGCTGCATTTATGCTTACAAGTTGACGCCTGTGTTGGTACTGCAGACACACCTTCCCTTTTGAAAAATGAGCATAAGATGGTTTCCAGAATTGCTGTGTTAAATATCGGCCTGGAAATATTTAATTTTTGATCTTCACGTAGAGATGTAATTACAGAATTTGATCTATACAAGTACAATACAGAATGATGTATGGTATATTATATAACATGTCATGCTCCAATATGGTATTCCGTATAGAGTGATTGTTAGTGCTGCCCATTTTGGATCAGACTTAGTTCTAAATAAAAATGTTAGTTGTGATGTGAAGCAGCAAACTGTTCAGCTTGCACAGTGCTACAGTCTGTACCTGGGAGGTAGCTTAAAGAACTTCAAACTGAAGCAGATGGAGAGTTTTGCTTTCACATTGTTGCAATGTTTCAGGTGACAAAGAGACTGAAAGAGAAGGAAATAAAACGCCAGGAGCACATTTATGAGTTCATCCTGACTGAGAAGCACCACTGTCTCACACTCAGGGTCATGCAGAAGGTATGGGCTCTGGTCATGGGCCTCACAGAACCTTGTAAGGTAAAACCATGTGGCAGATGTCTGGCAACAGGTAGCAGGGGAGCCTGAGGGCACTGCATCATGAAACTGCAGTTGGATAGTTTGGATGTGTTTATGCCATGGGAGGTTACCAAAAGACTGCTTTGAGCCTACTTTCCTTCTCATTTAAAAAGCGAAGCTGTTGTGATCACCATCTTCTGTGTGTGTGCCCATCCACCCGTCCTTTCAGATTTGGACCAACCTACGATTATGCTCTTATGAGATGTGACACTGTATGCTCTGGTAGATAGGAACCAGTGTATTGAAGGAAGAATGGTAGAAGTTGTGTGTTCTGAAGTGTTGGCCCCTGTGTACCGGACAACATGGTACCACATCTCAGAAGTCCATGTATTAATAAACACTGGTGTGGAAAACTGAGATCTTGCTTTTGAACCAATTGACAAATTTCACAAAATTTGGTATGAATATCATATCACTGGAGCCAACCCTAACATTTTATGTTTTGTAATTACCTTCAGTGAGTTAGTAACGCCATTTTGGACATACATACGTGTGGGGTGGGACTGACCATAGTGCCATATAGAGGCTCAGTCTGTGTGGTATTACATCTTCATTGAACATTGACTTTTGTAAGATAATTTCCACTTTGCCTGGAATGTCTGTCAAAAAAAAATGGTAAAAATTTTCATCCATCATTCAGTTTTACAGCAAAAACTGATGAATCATTTTGAATGGAAGCATGAAATTTGGTATGGAGTTTATAAATATACAAATTCTGTATGGAATAATCTTTCTAAATCAAGAATTATGAATGTAGCAACTGTGCAGAACATTGGCCCTTCTAGTGTGTTTTTCGTAAAGAATACTGTGTGTGGGATGTAACAGCATCTAGTCTGTACAGCATTACATCCCAGAAAAATGTACGCTTCACAGTCACCACTGTGAGAACCTCAAATCCATGAATTTATTCTAGTCAGATCTCTCCTTGAGTGGTAGCAGTAGCAGCAGTTATAATGGTGCTGTGTTTGTAATGTACTTAAAATTACAAGCAGTAAAAAAAATTATTAAGGTGTGATTCAATCCCATGACATGGCAAGACTCATAACCCACTGGCTAAATTGCTTCTTGTTGCATGTGAACTTAGATTACCTAAGCATGACATTACAGAGAAGATTCATGTGACTGCAATAGTGAAGATGGTTCTTTGAGTTCCATCTGAGACTTCTGGTCCATGATGCATTTCCATATTCTGTTTTTTTTTATTGCTAGTGGGTTCGACTAAGTCCCTTGTACTGCGGCCACTTCTGGCCTATTGTACCAGCCCCAGATGATAGGTGAGGGTGATTGTGGAGCAGTTGGTGGAATGACGATTGGCTGGGGGAACCGAAGTACCCAGAGAAAACCTGCCCCAGCACCACTTTGTCCACCACAAATCCCACTTGACCAGACCCAGGATCAAACCTGAGCTGCTGCGGTGGGAAGCCAGCAACTAACCGCTTGAGCTATGGCACAGCATATCCATATTCTTTGGAGACTTTCCTGTTCTGCATTGGGGGGGTTCTTCCAACATCGTAATTTCACTAATCAATGTCTACTGTCAGAAGCCTTTCACCCATGAACATTATGTTGTGTCGGAATGCCAGATGTTAATATTTCCTCTTCACATTATTTGAGATCTCTTGCCGTAGGTTGCTAATAGGAACAATGGATAGCAGTGGTGATATGTTTTCCCATACCGAAGTGACTTTTTTTATTTTCTCACAGGAAGGAGTTGAGGTTGGAAGTGAGACAGATAGGAACTGTGTTTTCACATGTGAATAAAACCATCCCATGCTGTTGCTGTTATGCCAGTATGCCAACATGAGCCATTTGTGACAGCTCCCTACTTTTTTGTTAGGTGTTTGTAGAAGGTCTGCAGAAGCACTTCCAGCTGGGCAAGGATTTGGAGAGAATGTTTCCACGCCTGGCAGATCTGACGGACATCCACTTGAATTTCCTGCAGCGCTTGCGTCAGCGTCAGAGAATGGCACCTGTAGTGGACACACTTAGTGACATCCTTCTGGAACAGTTCTGTGGCTCCGGTGCCCAGAAACTCAAGTCGGCATATGGGGAGTTCTGCAGCCGGCACAGAGACGCTGTTGACATCTACAAAAGCTACCTGCATGACCATCGGTTCTCAGAGTTTGTGAAGCACTGCCAGGCAAACCCACTCCTCAAGAAGAAGGGGATCCCTGAGTGTATCCTGTTTGTGACACAGAGGCTGACTAAGTACCCACTGCTCATCGAACCCCTCATCAAGACATCAAAAGACAATAAGATCGAGCAGGAGAGGTTCACCAAGGCCTTAGCGCTCGTCAAGGTGAGGAACCAGAGCAGAGCCACAGACATCCCTGTCTCCTTCCAAAACTTTGTGCCTCGTATTTTACCTCATACATGTTGAAATTTCTTGGATTGTAGCACTGGCTGGGGTTTGAACCTTGGTAGGAGCAGGACCATTGTGTTCAGACCACATTCTGGGTCTATCCAGTTTTTTACCTGAGAATGAAGCTGCTCCTAATGCAAAGGTTAACCCTTTGGGACTGAAGTTCATGTAAATCATATTTTAGTACTCATTTGCTGGCTCACAGTGAACGTTCTGCAACATATTACAGAGACCAATCAGTTAACACTGTTTATTGTGAAAATTATAAGAAACAGGTAAAAATAATGTAGAAATGGGGAATTTTTGTTTTAATCTTAATGCAGGTGGTACGTATGGGTAACAGTGAGCTCTAAGGGTTAAGAATTAGCAGAGCTTTATTTCCACCTGTTTTACCCATCCATGATGTGTACTGTGCTGTATGCAATCTGGAAAATGTGCTTATACCTGTACTGGGTTAAATGAAGTAGCAGTGACCTCTGTGTTGTGTTCAGGAAATTCTGGTAGAAGTGGACACACAAGTTGCAGAGAAGGAGAAGGAGGACAGGAAGCTGGAGATCTACAACAGGATAGAAGCTAAGTCCTTCACAGTGCACCGTGGACAGAAGTTCAAGAAGTCTGATATTCTCTCCAAGAACAGGAGGTTGAGGTCAGTTGTGAGAGAGGATAAGGACCACTCCACTGTCCAGTGGTGTCTGAACTTCAGTGTTCGATTAGAGGAAGTGTCATCATCTGGGATGAGTCAGTGTGTAGCCCATTTGATGTTCACCGGCATTTCTGAGGGATGTACTGCCTTCATCTTCAGAGTAGAAGAGTAAACCACCAAGGAAACAGCTGGGACACGGAAAACCGGTTCAGATGCAGACCCCATTCTCTCTGGCTGTAGCTGAACCAGTTTTCCTCATGTGACTTACTCCACATGCTATTTGCTGCTTGACATAGTCTTCAGCCAAGAAGATGGAGGCAGTATTTCATTTTTCTGAACGTCACTCACCTCTGCCTCCAGCACAGAAATGGATTATGTGTGTCTTTAACCTGCTCTGCCTTCACTTACATTGCCTCTCTTCTGCCACATACTCTGTAAGCCATTGCTTCTGCAGGAATGTAGGTCCATCTGGAGATATTATTATTATTATTATTATTATTATTATTATTATTATTATTATTATTATTATT